GAAATGCACACAGCATAATAATCATGGTTGAAATATGATTAACAGTATAAATATCCCATAATATATATTGGATAATTTATATGACTAAAACATGGCATTATTTAATTTAATACCATTTAGTAAGATATTAACACTATTTATATTTAACAATGTCATTTAAATAAATCACATTAATATCCGTACTGTGAACGAGTCAATAAATGCTTAGAAAAGATTAATCGGTCATAAGAATAAGTAACGGGTATTAAAATAATAATTTCGTGGCCCGTTAAACCCGTAAATACCAACACAGTACCTAAAAATCCAAGTTTAAGGTTCTGGAATTTACAAAACAGGCCTTAGGGGTATTCTGGTAATTTTCAGCAGCTGTAGAGACCCCACACGCGCCTCCCAGAGCCTCCCACACGCGCCGCCACTTTTCTCACACGCGCACGCGCTTACACGCGCCTTCACGCGCGTCTAGAACCTCCCACGCGCCTCCACGCGCGTCTGGCATCAGCCACGCGTGCGCACGCGCTCCCACGTGCGCACCATGGCTTCCTGCAGACGTGTCACTTCCTGGTTGGTTGGCTGCATCCGGACTCCGTACTCGCGTCACACCGGATCATCTCACCCTATCTTCCCTCCATCCAACGCCCACAGATCCGGGTGTACCGCGGTAACATGGACCGCGGTGCACCGGATCAATCGCTGCTGTTTAATGGTCCAGATGCGCGTGCGTACCTCCTATGGTGCGCCGCATCACACCGGATCACTCCGGTCATCTCCCCCATTGCCGGCGACCGGAAAACTCGCCGGAAGGTCACCGGAAATTGCAGAAACTTACCGAAAAATTCTAGAAAATTCTAAAAAAAATCCCAAAGGCCATAATAATTATTTTTAGCTATATTTTGATTACATAGGCCATAAAATAATTATCGACCACCTTTAATAATTAAAATTTCCTTTCTTTAATAAATAAAAAAATTAATTTAATAATTTCCTAGCATGATCTCTAAGCTCTATAATTATTTAAATAATCTAAACAATTAATTTATGAATTCAAAGGGGAAAAGTAGATAATAACTTGCCTTTTTGGATTTAAAATAAATCCGCCGGTTGCGCGTAGTCGGGTAAATTCCCTACACCGGTCCAAGCTCCTTTCTTTCTCTCTCTTCCTTTCCACACTTTTACAATGGCTCACTAGAATTTATAATTTGTTTCTAACTCCCTTTCTTTCCTTCTAAGGTAGGCTAGCTAATTTATATACAAATTATATAATATAAATATTACAAATATCTATTTTTGCATTTAATTAACCACATTCCCAACCATAAGGCTTTAAGGCTAGCAAGCCAAGTCAAGCAAGATGTCCTAAGGTAAATCCTATCCTAAGATTTAATTTTTCATCATTACATTGATTTAATACTAATATTATTATTACTAATATTATTATTAATAAAACTTTTATAATTATTATATTATTATTATTATTATTATTATTATTATTATTATTATTATTAAACTATTATTATTATTATTATTATTATTACATAAGAATACATTATATCATTATAATACTTTATAACACAAATATAATACTTTAATTAACTAATAATGATTAATATAAGCATAACCAACAAATAAAATTATTAATAATAATACATGCATAATTAAATGAATACATTTACTATTTTAACATACACAATTAATTTACATGCACCATTAAATGATCTTAATATAACAATGTAGCATGCACAATAATAGGTAAAGGAATCCACACATAATTGAATTTAAATAAACTAAACTCTTTAATAAAATACGGGGTATTACAGTATGGTTGAAGCATTAAAGTTGAATGCAATATTTCATGAACAAATTTACAACAAAAACTAAAATACAAGCATTCAATACAGGAAATCAAATAAGAAATTCATATCACTATCTTAAGAAATACAATACAGGTAACGAAGTTAAAGAGAAAAATGCCAAACGAACCACAACATATTCTGCCAACAGTAAGTACCGAAGGCTAAACTTCAGCAGTTTTTTTTCACTTCTTTTCTCAAATCTACTATCATATTTTCTAACTCCAATAACCTTTCATCCTTCACATTCATGGGTGCCTCTGAAATTCGTGTTGATGTTTTAGCTTGTTGCAACTCTTGCACCTCTGTCATAAGATCTTAAACTAATTTACAGTAGTACTCGGGCAATTCTTTATCTTTCCACCTTAAAAAACCACATGAACCAGTTCTATAGTTTGCACAACCATAAAACCTTCTACCCAAATTTCTCTCTGTATTTGAAATCTTCAAAGGACTTCTAACTTTACAATGGCAGTAACATTCTTTCGCCCTTCCATATAAGTAAGAACGACTTCTTGAGGTTGCAGATTCTATGTAATATTATTGTATGTAAGCGGAAAGGAAAGATGAAGGGGGTTTGAGAAGTGGAAAAGAGCCCAACTGACGGAATGAGGCTCCCAGATTAGAACTAAAAGAATACTCACAGACAAGCAAGCATACCAAACATTCTCACTACCAGCAAAGCCGGACCAATATTCCCACTATCCTTCCAGCCAGACAAGAAGCTGTCTCTAGCTGAAAAAATATATATATAGAGAGAGAGAAATACAATGCTAGAAAGAGAGAAATGCTAGAGGAAGTATAGAGAGAGAAAACATTAAAAGGGGTATATATAGAGAAAAACACTAAATATATATATATATATATATTTATAAGGTAATGTGTACAAAACACCCCTATATTATGAGATTCATAACATATATACCCCTTTGGACATTTTGGAAAGAGTAAAAGGGCAAAATAGGTATTACAATAATAATTTATGTCAAATTTCTAACGGAGGGGTAACTTTACACAATTTTAAAAAATTAGGAACGTTTATTATATACTTTTTCAAATAAAAAATAAAAATGTTACGAAAAATATACGACATATTTTCTGCACTTCCCTTTTATGATAAATTATAGGAGAGGTGAGGATAATTTACACTTTTATTTTTGTTCGTCCTTACACACTCGTATGATTCTGATTGACAAAATCAAAATTCAAAATTTTTTTTTTTTTCCTTTCCCAATCCATTTACAACCATGCTATCTTGGGATTTGCGCACTGAAGATCAAGCATGTCTCTCAATTAAGTGGAGTGGGCTTAGCTTTAAGGACAGTGGAATCCTAAGATTGAGGCCCACAATTATGGGATTTTGGGGACATGATTAGAAGTTATGATGCGTAAACCTTCATTCATTTCATGATTGAGTGACAAGGCCTGCAACCCTAGTTGATGGTTAGTTTAACCAATACTACTTACAAGTATCATTGAAGTTTTCATACAATATAAAAAAAAGAAAAAAAAAAAATATTATGGAAGATTTCTCGCGGGGAATCTTTTCTACTTTCAGGTTTCTGTCAAGTTCCTTCTTTGTAGTGTCCCTTTTGCCATTTTATTTGTTCACACATTTTGAGATATTAATGGCAAAACTAGTAAATATGAGACAATTGAGCAATCTTATCCCACCCAGTTATCCTGTGACATGTATTATATTATTATTATTTATTAATCTTAATATATATATAATTTAGAGTTTGGTTTGTTCAGTCTTTTAATGGACTTGAATCCTGAATCCGCAATCGTAAACTAATGATTTTTAATTTTGAAATTGGAATCGAAATCAAAACCGAATCATGAAAAAACCAAACACAAGCGATGGTTTGTATCTACTTACTAGTTCTAATGGTTTTTTGTTCACCTCCGCGTACAATAGTGTTTGATATTTGATGTAAATACACGACCAAATACAATACAAAAAATATCCTTCAGAGATCAAACCAAAGATAGTTTTTATTAAAACATGGTATAGTTATACCTCTTCTGTAGATTGCAAAATAATAGGGATCGCCAAAATGATAGGGATCTCTCTTTTAGTTTCAAATATAATAGTACTTCTGTCCCTAAATAGAGGTCCATGTTTAGAAATTAGAGTTTTTAAGGGGACATGTAATTAATGCATTGTCCTCTTTTAAAATTATCAAATTGTTCTTTTTAATTTAAATATATATAGTTATAAAGAAATTTTTTAAAAAGATAAAGGACAATAATGAAAATATAATAAAAAGATACTTAGACTTTTCAAAGAGGATAACTAATTTGGGACATGTAAAAAGAAAAAAATGGACTACTAATTAAGGACTGATGAGCACTGATCTCCCATTTGGTTCAAGTTTGAGTAATACTACCTTTTTATCATAAAATTTAACAATCTTGTCTATTGATTTTATGTTCAAAATTTCTCTAAAACTTGAGAATATTTTAAAAAACTTTGAAAATGCTATTTTTTTTTTCATACACTAAATTAATAAAAGTTTAATAGATATAATAGTCGAAGTCAATGCTGACGGAGAAGGCAATATTATTTTAAAACAAAAAGTAAGGTCCTTATTATTTAGATAATCTATGGGAGAAGTAAGTATAATTATTCCTTAAAACATAATTGATTTATTTGTAAAGAAAAAAATGACAATTTTTTTTTAAAAAATTTTTTATTATGAAATTCCCAAAAAAGAATTCTTAAAAGAAAGGTACTGTACAACTTGCTGATACAATAAAAGTAAGTTTGGATTGCGAACTTTATTAATGGATATTAGTAATATTATTTGTCTCTAAGATTATTTAAACTTTTGATTTTAAAAAATAAATAAATAGATCATGAACTTTTTTCTTACCACCGTTAAGCCATTAGGATAATACTTTTTGTATTAATTCAGAACATTTGCAAACTTAAAACAAAAAATTGCCCAAATTAAATATATAGATTATAGACACACGTAGAAACTTGAAATTGAATACTAAGGAAGTAACTTGAAATTGAATACTACGGAAGTACGGAGTAGTATATACGTAGTAATTGTGTGGATGAGTATTTATCTTTTACTGAAAAAGATAAAAAGAAAAAGAAAAAGAAAAAGCTTTTATCTTTTCCCTGCTCAGTCGTTTCAAATTCAACAGGTCAGGATAAGAACTGACCATTTTACAATCATATCGATCAGCAGACATGTTTGTCAGTTTGTCTGTTTATCACTAACCAGCCATTTATACATACACACACACACACATATATATATATATATGTTCACGAACTTCACATGTACACATATAGATATAGTTATATAGATATCTATACCTGAGTGAAACCATGAAAATGTTTTGCTGTTTCAAATCAGCAAGCCTCTCTGCTCTTCTTTAGTTGCCATTTTTTTTTTCCCTCAGTGCGTAGTTGTGTGACACTGCTTAAACCACTTCACTATCACAGTCTTACGTTATTTGATATATCTTGCTCTTGATTGACGAGTATTGTTGTAAATATGGAGAAAAAGGAGGGCTTTTTTTCAGCGATGAAGAAGGAGGTGGAGGAGGTGGTCCGAGGACTGTCACCGAGGAGGTCCAGGGGGAAGAGCCCGAACCAGCTGCGAAATGGGTCGCCAAAGTCGGGTTTGCTTCCGCGGATGAAGAGGGCAAACCACCACGTGTCACATCCCGAGCCGTTGGTTATGAGATCGGGCAGTTTGAGGCCCGTGGAGGAAGGCCCACATCCGGATGGATCGGACGGTGGTGATTCGAGGTTGGAGAGGTGGTCCCACTGGATGAAGGGCCAGCGTTACAGGACACCACCACGCTCTGTTTCGTCCTCCACCAGTAGTACTGCTGGTTACCAACGGTCCGATCTGAGGTTGCTGCTCGGCGTTCTTGGTGCGCCGCTGGCTCCGGTGCACGTTAGCAACAATGACCCTTTGCCTCACCTTGGCATCAAGGACATCTCCATTGTTAGTCTCTCTCTCTCTCTCTCTCTCTCTCTCTAAAAATGCTACATTCTCTTTATCAGTTCATTTATCTGTCTTTCTTTCTTCTTTTATCCCTCATTTACTTTATTAAGAAAATTAAAGTTGTGAAGGGAATTTTGTTTCGGCCCGGGTTGTAGATTATCTCTCAATCTAGTGTTTAAGGGTTTTGTGGTACCAAAGAACATTGAAAGCTGTTTTAGAGGGTGGGAGTTACATAGGGTTTGGAGGTAAAATTTGTAATCTCTTATTTTTCGTCCTAGATTTTCATAATGGAGGAAGGCTTTATGTCGAATCACATGTAAATATTTGTATCTCGTGTTTTGTGTGATAAATATGATTTCTTGGGTAATGTACTTATAGGACCTGATAAGAGTCACGAGCTCTCCTATTTAATCATTAGATTGGAATAATATTTTTAGGTCCCTAAACAATCAAATATCTTTCGATCTAGTTAAATAGGGAGAGTTTGTGACTCTTTTTATGATATCAATACTCTTATTTTTGTTATTTTTGTGTAGTGTTTCTTGATTGTGATGTTGGTTTTGGGGCATTTGTTGTAACAAAAATATATTATAATCCTGTGTAGTGGACTATGGGGTCTCTACTTTTGGTAGTTTGAGATCAATATACATTGAACAGTTTGTTCTGTGACAACTCTTTTTATTCGTTTTATTTTTACTAGTTCATATAATAGTCTATTAGCAGTCAAGCTATGTTTGGTTGCATATAATGGTGTCTTGTCCTCAAATTTCAAATTTTCAAGGTGTTATATGCTTCCGGATGCAAAGTTATCTTGAAAACTGTTTCCACACTGAACCAAAATGGTCCTAAAGTTCTTTTGTCTGTATAGTAATTAAATGGTCCAATCCAACAAGTAGTTGTTTCTTCTTCTTCTTTCCTTTTAGCTTTCATGTACATGAACAATTTTATAAAAATAAGAATCTTCATCTATGCATCTCTATTGTCTTGTATTTCTAACATTATATGCTAATTGTGGCTCTTAATGAATATATATATTATATATATTTATATATAGATATAGTATGTTAAGGTGTAGATGTGTGCAATTTATGCTCATTCACGAGTTGCTTCTTTTTCAATTTATGCATATGATAATATCTGCAGCAGTGAAAGGGAGGTCTATATATAGAAATTATTGAGTGTATTTTTCTGGGTGGACAATCATTCTCTTCATTGACAAATGAAGAAAATTAACTCACTGAAAAGAATCAAGAATTCAAAAAAATAAAAATAAAAGAAAAGAAAGGAGAGATGGTCTAACATGCTGATTTATATGGAGCCCTTTGTATTTTGGTTAACTGATAGTGAGTAAATGTTGCTTGGTTATAGTTGCAGGAGAAATTGTCTGCTCAGTACATATTGCAGCAGTATGCAGCAGCATCGGGAGGACAAAAGCTTCAAAACTCAATTCAGAATGCGTATGTGATGGGAAAAGTGAGGATGTCAGCTTCAGACCTCGAGACTGCTACGAAGGTCATAAAAAGAAAGAATTCTTCCAAAGCAGCAGAGTCGGGTGGCTTTGTGCTTTGGCAAATGAATCCAGACATGTGGTATGTGGAGCTTGCACTTGGTGTCAGCAAGGTTCGCGCAGGTTGCAATGGGGAGCTTGTCTGGAGGCACACACCCTGGCTTGGTGCACACGCTGCAAAAGGGCCTGTTAGACCCTTACGCCGTGTACTTCAGGTGAAGATGTCTGCTTTAAATTAGCATTTTTCTTTATCTATTTGGTTTGCTCATTGCTGGTTGATAATTTGATGATCTATCCTCTGTTATATTTATAGGGGCTTGACCCAAGGACTACTGCAAGCATGTTCATTAATGCAAGGTGCAGTGGGGAGAAGAAGATCAATGGAGAGGATTGCTTCATTCTCAAGCTCTGCGCTGATCCACAAACATTGAAATCCAGGAGTGAAGGACCGGCAGAGATTATAAGGCACGTTTTGTTTGGCTATTTCAGCCAGAAAACCGGACTCCTTGTGCACTTGGAAGATTCCCATTTGACCCGCATCCAAACCAATGGAAGTGATGCTGTGTACTGGGAGACCACTATTGGTTCATTCCTTGACGACTACAGGCCTGTTGAGGGAATAATGATTGCTCACTCTGGCCGATCAGTGGTAACTCTTTTCAGGTTTGGAGAAACAGCAATGAGTCACAGCAAGACCAGGATGGAGGAAGTGTGGACAATTGAAGAAGTGGCTTTCAATGTCCCAGGCCTGTCGGTAGACTGTTTCATTCCTCCTACCGAACTAAGGTTTGGTACTATTAGTGAAACCTGTGAGTTCACTCAGGGAGAGAGGGTAAAGACTGCAGTGGCAGTTGCTGCTGCAGCCGCTTATCAAGCCAAAATTGCAGCACGGCGGAAATCACATGATGGTAATGCCAACAATATGGTTTATAAGAGGAATATTTAAGAGAAGGAAAGTGTTTTGTGGAAAATATTCGTCCTATAGGCTAGCCTGTTGGTATGAATTAGGGATAAATTGTCAAGGTAGACACTCAATTGATAAGGAATTTTGAAGTTGGGTTCACGTTTCTTCAAATCTCTGTAAATAGACCAAATGGTTCACAAGGTGTCTGAGGGGCCTGGGTCGATCTCTGTACTCAATGCAGAGTTCCATTATGGAGTTGAGGCATGTTTCCACTTTCAAATAGGATATGGAGCTAATGGAGGTTTGTTTTTCCAATTCACCTTCCCGTATGTGGATGTTGTGTCACACAGTCTCACTGATATCTGAGATTCACTTTCGTAAAATCTGTAAAGGCTTTCATCTGTGATGCCTGAGAATCTTATCTTCTATGATTTTATAAAAAATGGGAAAGCATACAAGAAGCGTTAATGAATGAGCTTTATATTTTGAATCTGTTTATGCAATTTGTTTTGTGCCATGGAAATGAATTTGAACGTCTGAAGCAAGGAACTGTTAGTAGAAGTTGCCCAATCCCATGTATTTATCCCTTCCTCTCTGCAGTTGTTGGGTGCAATACAAATTTGTGGGTGACGAGAAACTTTTACGAGGGTGGGTGAGAAGTTTACCCTTCCTCCAAACCAGTTGTATTAGAGGCTACATTATTGGTTCTGAGCAGGTTTCTGTACTTACAATGACAATGACTGCTGTTGATAAAAATGCAAGCAGCACAGTATTGTTCAGGACACATGATGAATCTTAGAAATAAGCTTTCGTTTTCTCTCTTGTTTTGTGTAAGATGACCAATGAGTGATGCTTAGGGGCATAGTGTCCCATGAAGATTAATTTCTATCTTCACTAACCACTTTGCTAATGTTTTCAGCTTCATCCTCACATTTCACTCTAGATTTCTGAAGAATGTGCTTTTGTTGTCGCTTGTCTGTTTACTTCTCTGTGGTAATTATTGTCCTAGCTTTTTATCAGATGAAACTCCCCTCTTTAGAAATTCCCTATGTTTTTGTGGTGTATGAGTTGATTTTCTCAAGCTATATATGAATGTTAATTTTTGCATCTCCTACAATTATTCTGTTAACTTGTTTGTCTAGCTAAAGCCTATATTCCTAGTTTTGTTGTCTTTAACCATTAATCAATTAAATGGGATCCATCAGGCAGTGGTTTTGGTCCTTATTCAAAACAAAAGGGGAGGATTAGTTGTAACATTAGCTAGGTTTTGCAGGAAAGCAAGGTAAGTGGTGTATACACAAGTGGGCTTCCTTTGTATTTTCAGCACCTTCACAGTTGATTTAGAGGATACGAGTGACCTTGAATCAGTAATGACCTGAGTGCCATTTTTGTTAAGCATTCGGAAGTACAGCATGTGTAAATTCGAGTACTAATACTTAAAGATTTTGTTTGAATTGATGCTGTAACATGCGTTTTGAGTTGATTATGAAAATAGCAACCTGAAGGATTGAACAGCTTACTTGTTTCCGACCTGTACAATTGGATCTATGATTATCTAGGATAATTTGGTTAGCTTAACGTTCTTATTGCAAGAATTATTCATTGATCTACCGTATTGATACCAAGCCTTCTTGTGTCTTCTTGGGTAACATGCTATGTTCGAAGCTTGTTGGCCCAAGGCTCAAGGCTCGGTGGATGATGGAGAAAAAGATCATGAAAATGGGTCATCAAAATTGTTGCAAATTACACAAGGAAGTGAGATAATCCATATTTTAAGAAATATGAGGGAAAGCTCAGTACGTGAAAGTAAATTGGTACTTATGTTATGGATGTTGTATGTAGCTCTGCAACTTTAATAAACAATTTAATTTTGATTTAAGGGGCTAGATGCAAATTGATACATATATTGACTTGGAGCATATTTTTTTCTCTTCTGATAAGTAGATATATTAGCTTAGAGCTCGCATCTGTTAGATTATCGTTATGGCAGTAAAGTTTATACTATGTTAATGGTATTTTTTTTTTTTTTTTTTCCAACATTAAACTAGTTGCTTTTCAGTGAGTTGTGTATTTTCAATAAAATCATATATTAAACTGGTTGCATCAACTATTTAATTGTTAGCGCAAACTTTTTTTGGTGAATATCTAAAGGTAACATTTTTATTTTTTGGACTAAGGTTTATAGGATTTTATTCTTTGTGTTATAGGTAGTATATTTTTTTGTTTAATTATGCAAAGTTATATAGCTATTCAGTTGCCTTTGTTACAAATGCTTGTTAATCTGATTGGGATTGCCTGAAGTTATGAAATTTTAAACAGATCTGTTTGTCTTAAATATATATGAGAATAGGATTTTAGTTCCTCTTATGACATGCTTGGTATTCAATTATGAGCCCTCAAGGGAGTAGATGTACTCTCATCACTTGATGGTAAGTGAAAGCTTATTTTTAAGTATTTCCAACTGATCTTGGCAAATTCTCGAGAGGTTAAATTAAACTGTGACTGTTAGCGCAAGGAAAGCTATGCAGCCTTCAGTTAAGTCATGCCAAGCTGTTTTGAAGTATTCCTAGTTGATCTATGCTCCCATTGTGTTGATCGGATTAGAATTTTCAACAGAACGAAGTCTGCTTCATACCAAATGTTTCAGTCCATATTCAAGTCGTGGCGATATAGTCTGTGTTTTAAAGACAAGTTGCATATTGTTTGTTTGATAGAACAGCTAGGGATGTAGTATGATTGTTGAGCTTTGATTAACATGTGTTAATCTTTCCTAGTCTTAACAATACCGTTTAGAAAAACTAGATGATGCAATGCTTATTTTTGTGGCCAATAGCGATCAACAAAGAATCAATAATACATGGCAGCTTGTAGTTGGTTTATTTGTTATATCTGGACTTGGGTGATCTAGCTCAATTAGAAGGAGATTGTAAAAAAGTTTCCCCTGTTATCATGGATGGATTTAGCCTAAATTTGTATGTGTTTTGAGTGCTTTTGTATGGTATAATTATATGTTTTCTGCAAAGTAGGGAACTTTAACTTCATAACTGAACATGCTGCAATTTTCAAAATGCACAACTAGCTTTTAAAATTTTGATTTAAAAAAAATAAAACTCGCTTTAAAATTATCTAGCATAGAATTAGCTGCTGTTTGCTTTTCAGTAACTTCACCACATTGGCTTCTTTTGGGGATGCAGTGCAGAGTTATATCCAGAGTAAATGCCTCCACACCATACCAAAATATTCTAGTATTTCATTTCACACAAGAAATAAATTTCACATGATCTCCGTATGGCCTTTATTGATTCTTAACTGGTCATACGTTCACTCACTTAAAATTTCCAGACGGTTTTCTATGCCTAATGCACAGTTATATATGTTGGTGGTCTGGTCCTTTGGCATCTTGAAGTTTTGGGGGAAATCAGGTATGTTAAACTACTACTACAAGTTATTCACTATGGTTTTCTATTGCTCCTTACTGGGAACACTCCCAGGCTTGGCTTGATTTTCAGTTCTGTGCTTTTACTTCACACCAAAACCTATTCCTGTTTATTTTGCTCATGAATGTGAATTAATTTTACAGTTTTTACTTCACCACATGTCTTAATGTTTTCTTTCCCTGACCCCATCCTAGAGCCTAATCCTGTTTATTTGCTCATGAATGTGAGTTACCTTTTTTTGTCTTATTCGATGCTGAGGAATAGTCAAAGCTTCTTTACTAGGTGGGACATTATTTGATTAGAAAAATAAGCAGAAGAAGAAAGAAAACATTTAAACTTTCAAATTGGAACACTGCAGAAACTAAACTTTCAGTTTCACCTTGTTTATGGGGATAAGATTTAGTCGTATGCTTTACTTCAGAACATGTACTGTATTAATTTTCTTTCCCTGAAACCATCCTAGAGCCTAATCCTGTTTATTTGCTATGTGAGTTACCTTTTATTTATTTATTTATTTTTTTGTCTTATTCGATATTGAGGGATAGTCGAAGCTTCTTTACTAGATGGGACATTGTTGATTCATTAGAAAAATAAGCAGAAGAAAAAGGCATTCAAAATTTCAAATTGGAACTGAAGAAATTAACCTTTTAGTTTCACTTTGTTTACAGTGATTAGATTTAGTTGCATGCTTTTACTAATCCTGTTTATTTGTTTATGAATGTGAGTTACAATATATATATATTTTTTTGTCCTACTAGATTCTGAGGAACAGTTGAAGCTTCTTTAATAGGTGGGACATTGTTGATTCATGAGAAAAATCAGCAGAAGAAAGAAAGCATTCAAACTTTCAAATTGAAACACTGCAGAAACTAAAAACCTTTCAGTTTCACCTTGTTTACTGTGATTAGATTTAGTTGCGTGCTTTTACTTCAGAACATGTGTTAATTTTCTTTCCCTGACACCATCCTAGAGCCTAATCTTGTTTATATGCACACGAATGTGAGTTACATTTTTTTTTTTTTTGTCTTACTCGATACTGAGGAACAGTTGAAGCTTCTTTAATAGATGGGACATTGCTAATTCATTAGAAAAATAAGCAGATGAAAGAAAGCATTCAAACTTTCAAATGGAACAGTGCAGAAACTAACCTTTCAGTTTCATCTAGTTTACTGTGACTAGATTTCGTATCAAGTCTCCCTAATCATGAGCTTAGGAATTATCGTAGTAATTTTCCACGCGACTGCACAGCAAGCAATAAACAAAACTAAGTTATGCATCGCGACAAAACCAGATGTCGGTATGGCAAGTACACCATTCCTAAATCATCATGATCAAAACACCATGAAAGGTACCAAGGTCTTGGGCAAGTGCCAATTATTTATGCAGTTTACTATTACTTAATGAAGATTAATGTCTGTAAATCTGCTTTTAATGCTTTCTGTCTGTATATAGTATGATTATATAGTAGCCGCATATTATTGAGACCTTCCCCAATTGTACTTGACACTGTTCTTAATCTATTTATTGCTTCTATTCTCTGCTTTGTTGAGCTGTGGAGTAAATATTTATTTGAAGATACAAATTCAGAATCAGGAAGGGACCACAATCTCACTTGACACTCTTCTTAATCTATTTATTGCCTCTATTCTCTGCTTTGTTGAGCTGTGGACTTAATATTTATTTGAAGATATAAGTTCATAATCAGTAAGGGACCACAATGTCACTTGTGATTTTGAATTTGACAATATCCCAATTTCAAGCTGTGGTCCCTCGCCCCTTTTTTGCAGCCCATTTGTATTTTTATTGCAGTTTAACAATCTCAAAAGTATTATCAGAGGCAATTGGAAACTATGGGCTTCAGGGTTTTAAACTACTCTGTCTGATCTTCATCATTGGTCACCCTCATTTGAAGTTAAGATTTGAAGTATCAATATCTAAAGCTCAAGATTACTGTGGGATTCTGTGAGAATTGAATCCAGGAGGTCCGAGTTTATGGACCGCCCTAGGAGACTACTTATCCACTTGGCCATCCCTGTGGGTCACGTCTATTCTTACGTTGATTATATATTAAGGAATATGTCGAGAAGGAGGGGTGTTTTTTTATTTTTATTTTTATTTTTTTTAACTTTGAGTAGCCTTTAGTGCAATTGACAAGAGATTGTCAAATAAGAAAGCTCTTTCACAGACAAGAAAGTTTGTTAGATCTGCATGTTGCCTTGGGATGGTTGTGAATATTTTGACATATCTGTCTTTTTGGTTTATATTCTTACCTAGGGAGGAAGAAAAACACTTAAGGAGATTTAAAGACCTATTAACCTACTTCTGCTATTCTTTGTCACAATAAAAAAAGAAAAAGGTTGTACCAGAAAGGGAAAAAGTGGAGTGAAAATTGCGATAAGGATTGAAAATTGTCCCAGGGAAAGGCGGTGTTAACTGGGAGTCACTTGTTTTGCTGAGGTGGAAAGCATTCTCATGACAAGATTATAAGACAAATTAGCAAAAGAAATGATTTTTTATTATATAAATTCAAATATAGAGAAATTTCATGTTTAGAAATGACGTGCTGTATAGTCATATGATTCACCTTTGATCCATTTTTGCCACTGGCTGTTGCAGGACTAACAACTAGTGCTCTGGTAGAAAAAGAGGGTTAGCATAGGGCATGAGACTTTTGTGATATGAAAAGGATTAGATGTGCGCAGTCTATCTTAGTATGCAGTGATGCTGTTTCCGTGATTCAAATCCGTGACTTCCACATCACAATGAGCTTTAATTTTGTAACTTCTTGGCCAAAGATTCTTAAATTACTGTAAGACGGATGAATGGGGTGAAAGCATAGCAAGGCATCATGAAGCTTGGATACAAAACATGGATGTGACATGACACGTAGATTTCGAAAATTTTGGCCGAATAATATAAATGGCTATTTACTAACCTAGCACATTAGCATAAATGCCTACATTACCTTTTATACAAATGTTCATGAGTGCTTTTTCTTTTACTTTAGTGTTGGTTCAATAATTTCAACCTAACAACAGAAAACTCTTACAATTGGATAACATCCATTCCACAATGTCTGCTAGTGACAATTAGGTCAAGATAGTAGTAAGATCACTACTAATAAAAAGATTAATACACTTGTCTAATTGTTTGTTGTAGGGACAGAAAGTACTATAATCCACCCTTCTCTTGAAAAGAAAGTCCCATACATATACATATGCATATACATATACATATATATCCATGAAAAGAAGTTTTCAACATTTTGAATGTCTATAATTTTTCAAATGCGCTGTGAGGTGTCACAAGACTCACTGCACAAATTTGACCTATTCCAGTAATGCTCTAATCTTTCCATATTTTATATGTTCTACATATAAAACTCCAAACCCTAATAACCCAATGTCAAATCTTAGTCTGAATCTTTTTCACTCAACCATGGATTCTCAAAAGGAGAAAATGAAAATACCCACCACAATCACTAACATGGGCACAGACCAGACTTGCACCAACCCCTCTTGTTTCTTCTGCATCATGAAGGAACCAGACTCATCAGTTAGGAGAGTAGGAATCAAAAACTACCTCAAAAAAATGCCTCTCATGGACAGCCAAGAACATGTTTTGGTGCTGAGTGGTCTATGGCACATAGCCATGACTCAACCTGATGATCCAGAGTTCCCCTTTCTCGGCGTCTTCGGGTGCATGGCCAGGTTGATCCACAGGGGCATCAATGATACAGATTGGCTTCTTAGAGATCAGAACATATACATTCCCTACTATGCAGCTCATGTCATTGGTTCCTACACCATGAACAAGGCTGAGTTCGCGGAGAAAGCTGTGGACTCTGGTGTGATTCCACCCCTATTGGAGCTTTTGAGGGGGAAGATGAGTTGGGTTGAGCAAAGGGTTGCAGTTCGAGCCCTCGGACACCTTGCCAGCTACGAGAGAACCTTTGAAGCCATGGCGTTGCGCGAAGAAGAGCTTGTCAAGTTGTCCATGCACTTGGCTTCTACCTGTCCTGAAGTGGTGTATGCAAAGTTCGTAGGAGTTAAGGATAAGAGTAAGAGACTGAAATATCATAGTGACTTGCTTACTAGAGGAGTAGGAGGGTTAGAGATGGAGAATAGGAAGGCTGAAGAATGGGCTAGCCAAATGCAGTGCTGGTCCCTCTATCTTCTCAACTGTTTTGCCATTAAAGAAAGGTCTATTGGTCTCATGTGTGAGGAACATTTCTTGAAGGACTTGTGCAAAATGTGGGGTGGATTGGTAAATCACACGTCACCTTCTGGGGTTGGACTCATTAGGATATTCTGTTACAGCAAACTTGGAAGAAAAAACATCGCAGCATCAAAAGAGGTCATAGAATATCTATGTAATCTTTCAAGATCATCGGATGATTGGCAATATATGGGCATAGATTGTCTTCTGTTACTTCTCAAGGACACGAATACGAGGTACGGAATTATTGAAATTGCCACTTTGCATCTCATTGATCTGATTGAAGTTAAAAGCATTGGAGGAAGAACCAACATAGGTGATACAATCACAAGAACACTCCTTAGTGACTATAAACGGCGAAAATCGAAAATCAAGAACCATAGTACTGTTCAAAGAGCACTAGAAGAGATATGGGGTTTAAAGGTGGAGAGAAGAAAGAAAGAGAAAGTGATGTCTGAAGTTAAAGTTGAGGAGAAAAGGGTTTTGGTGAGTCTCATAAAACAACGAGGAAACAATAGCTTTTGGTTGGGAAAGGTTGAAGAAGCTCAATTAAAGTATTCAGAAGCTTTAGGATTGTGTCCACTAAGGTTAATAAAAGAGAGAATTGTTCTTTACAGCAATAGAGCTCAGTGCCATTTGCTGCTTGGAGATCCAGATGCTGCCATTAGTGACGCAACGCGAGCTCTTTGCCTCTCAACTCCACCAAACAGTCACAGTAAAAGCCTTTGGAGAAGATCACAGGCCTATGACATGAAAGGGTTGGCCAAAGAGAGCTTGATGGACTGCATAATGTTCATTAATGCCTGCATGAAATCAGAGGCTACAACAAAAAAGCATGTCAAGGTCCCATACTACGCAGCGCGAATGATCAGCAAGCAGATGGATGCTACATGGCTGTTTGCTGCTGCAAGATCAAAGTCACCAAACAATCATGTGGACGAAGTACAACAATCGGACGGTGATGATGAGCTTAGCAAGGAGAAAGGCCTAAATGATGAAATGATGAGAATGACGGTAGAGAACAAAGGTTTCACTTCAGGTAATTAAGTTCCATATATATTTTCTCATCACATATAGTTCCATATATAATTATACATATGCAATCATATCTTTTTGAAATGGGTAATTGATGTATATATTGGCAATCATTTTGAATTTGAATTGGGTTTTTACTTTCTTTTGCTAGCATGCATGGTGTGCTCGTAATTTCAAATTTGTGTATATTATTTGTATATGTGAATTGCTTTAGCTTGTCAACTTTTTTCAGGTTTGTCCACCAGAATAGAAGAACCTTTGGTTGGAAAGAGAGAAAGTAGTAGAAGAAAGCTGGAAAGAGCTAGACGTAGAAAAGTTGCCTTGGCTCAATCAATGTAGTTCAGTTGGCTTAACAAATAGAGTGTTGCACCATTGCATGTTATCAATATATAGATGTCTATGTGATGGGATAATTTTGACCATTGATGATTTTTTTTTTTTAGGTAAGGAAAATAGCATTTTAGTTTTTGGTTACATATGGATGTGGAGAGGTTTCAATGCATCTCATATATGTCATATCATGATAGTTGTAACAAGAGTCATTTTTTCCACGTCGGATCTGGATGGAAAAATAATTGGGTATAAATGGATGGGTAAGCAATACTACCCAATAGCTTGAACTTTTGGGTAAATGGACAAGCGCTCACCCGTTATAGTTGGTATCAGAGCCAGATTGAACCTTTGATCCGGTGTCACGCTAAGCACCCTGTCTGGAAGGCATCTGGGTGAGCCAGCCCGGATAAGCAAGGTGGCCTGAACCGCAACGAGGGCATCACGAGTTTAGGTGGGGGAGAATGTAACAAGAGTTATTTGTTCCACATTAGATCCGGATGGGAAAGTAATTGGGTATAAATAGGTGGGTATGCAGTACTATCCAATAATTTGAGCTTTTGGATAAATGAGCAAATGTCCACCCGTTACAATAGTCCAGTACATAATCAATTATTAAATTCTACTTTGAATGAAGAAGATATGTAATTTTTTCCTTAACCATTATGCACGGGAAAGAGAAAGGGTGGACAGGACCACAAATCCATATTGAATATATAAACTACATAAAAACAAAAAAGTAAGTCATTAAACAAGGAAACTTTACTTCCATTGCATGACTTTCTCTGGTTGCCATTTCCTATGTTAAATTTAGAATGCTTTAAATTTTAGTGTGATTTTGTACTTGCTTTTTACATTTATGTCTCGTTCACAAGAAAAAAAAAAAACGAAAAAAGAAAATTTGGAACAGATTTTTCCATTCCAGTTGTTCATTCAATCTTTTGATGTGTGTAGTAAGAGAGAAAGGGAACATGGCTCCTCTCCAATATTTTTTCCCCCAAGCATTTCCTATGTGAACGATTTAAAATGTGCAAATAATGAAATTATAGGTTTTTAACTGTTGGATGGGACTCGAATTCCCTTTTGTGTTGGGATTCGGTCTATTAGCCTCGTGCACTAAAATGTTTCTGATTTGGTGCATTGGCATGGAGCTTAACACATGATGCCGAATTGGACTCATGAGCTTAGTGTCACGCCCCGCCTATGGAGGTTACGCCACGCAGGCGCTGAGTAGGACGTTGCATGGCGACTTAATGGCATTGGAGTTTCTAGAGTCTTCCGGAGTAGTCTAAAGTTGTGTGGAAGATTCTAGATATGTGTAGTATATTGTAGAAGTGTGTAGAATGTTCTAGAGTTCTCCAGAATTGTGTGGAGTAGTATGAATAATTTTAGAATGTTGTAGATATATATGGAAGTGTAAAGAAGGTGGGAGAAGATTCTAGAGAATCGATCTCCACCATAGGTTAGAATGTATCCTAGCCGTCCATTAGGGATGGAGATGCCTATAAATAGGAGTGGGACTTCATTTTGTAGACATCACGTCCTGGAGTGTGTCTTGAGAGCCTTGTAAAGAGTTTGAGAGCTAGCCTTGTACAAAACATTCTTTGAAGTGATAGAAGTGTTCTTTCCTTACCAACTTAAGTGCCTTAGTATGTGTGAGTGTGCAAGCCAAGTGAGGAGAGGGCAAGGGCCACTACAACACTAGTAAGTGCACGAAGGGAGTGTGTTGGCGAATGTGTGCACGGGTAGGGGTGAGCAAATAATCCGTCAATCCGTTAATCCGATCCGAACCAATCCGATTCGTGTGGTTCGGTTCGGTTTTAAGATTTCATGGTTTAGTGATGGTTTGAAAATTTTACAATCCGGTATTCGCGGTTCGGTTAACGGATTGGCCTCTGAAAAAATCGATCCGAACAGTTAACCGATCCGAACCGATCCGTTACCTATTTGAACTGTTAACCAATCCGAACCGAACTGTTGCCTTAATATATATATATGTGTGCAATATTCAATATACATCCTTATTACTTACAGTTATTTTTTTTTTTAATTAATTATTCTTTTAACTTTTAAGTTAACCCTAACAGTACCCAAACTCATTACTCCATCTCATTTCATTACATAGCCTTAGCCACGCCTCCCTCTTCTCTTCAGTCTTCTCCCTCTTCTCTCTCACAGTCTCAGCCCTTCTTCTCTTCAGTCTTCTCTCTTCTCCCTCTTCTTTTCAGTCTTCTCTCTTACAGCCTCAGCCGTGCCTCTCAATCCAGCACCTCTTCCCTTCAGTCTTCTCTCTTACAGCCTCAGTCGCACCTCTCAATCCAGCACCTCTTCTCTTCAGTCTTCTCTCTTACAGCCTCAGCCGCACCTCTCAATCTATCGATCACCAGATTCGAAGCAACGCGACCTTTGCCAATCGAAGCAATGCCTCCTTCAGCCCTTCTTCTCTTCGGTCTTCTCTCTTCTCCCTCTTCTCTTTAGTCTTCTCTCTTATAGCCCAATCTGTGAAAACCAATTTGAACCGATCCGTTACTTCACGGTTCGGTTTGGTTTGGTTTGAAGGCCCCCACGGATCGGTTCGGTTTCAATTTTCACCAATCCGTGAGGACCGGTTCGGCTTAATCTTTACCCCCAAACAGAACCGATCCGAACCGTGATCAGGCCTATGCATGGGAGTTAGGCTTGTGAGAGTAGAAGCAACATCTTGGTGCCGCACGGGAGTAGCTAGAGTGGTGTTGAAACTCTAAGCCTGTGACAGTTGGTATCAGAATAGGTTCATCAAGGGAGCTTTGTTGGAGTAGACATGGCTAGCGAAGAAGACCACCATGTCCATGTCTTGGAGTAGAGCTTAGAGAAGAAGCTTGCCACACACTTAGTCTACATGGAGACCAAGTTTAATAGGCTTGAGAGAAAGATTATAGAGCTCTACGAGCTGATCGACAACATGGGGATCAAGGAGCAAGAGAAGGAAAGGGACTTGTATGATCGGGTAGTCGACTTGCACGTGGAGATTGCCAAGTGCAAGAAGGAGTTTTCCAAGGTGCGTGAGGTCGTGGTGAAGCCAAGGAAGAAGAAGGTGCCGGAACCCAAGGAGTATGATGGGGCAAGGAATGCTCGTCAAATTGACAAGTTTTTCTAGCACATAGAGCGGTATTTCGAGTGTATGGAGATCGAGGATGATGAGGAGAAGGTATAGACAGACACCATGTACCTCACGGACACCGCCGCTCTATGGTGGAGGTAGCGCTTCACCGGTAGGGGCGCAAGAGCGGTTGACACATGGGAGGAGTTCAAGAGACAATTCAAGAGGCAGTTCTACCCTGAGTGCGTTGAGGACCTCACTATGATCAACCTAAGGCACCTGAAGCAGAAGGGCAGCATAAGGGAGTATGTGAAGGAGTACTCCAATTTGATGCTGGAGATCCCAGAGATGCCAGAGTGGCAATGCGTGTGCTTATTCATAGATGGGTTGCAATCTTGGGTGGCCATGGAACATAGGAGGAGGGAGTCTAGAGACTTGGCATCCACCATGGCCGTAGCGGAACGTCTTGAAGACTTTAGGCGCAATGACAAGAGGGCCACGTCTCCTAAGAGGGACCACGGCAAAGGTGGGGGAGATCGGCGCTTCAAGAAAAGGGGCTCGCCCAAGTCCAGTGATGATGAACACAGCGATGAGGAGCTACGCACACGCCATGACAAGGGCAAGGACCATGGAGAGAGGTCTAAGGTCAGTGACAAAGGGGAGCACCGCGACAATGGCAAATGGGAGTCGAAGTGCTACTTATGCGATGGGCCACACATATTACGACAATGCCCCAACAAGAAGACCATGAACGCCCTTGTGAAGGATAAGGGCAAGGGCAAGGGTAAGATGAACGATGCAGGCAGCGATGAAGATAGGTGCATGGAGGCTATGCAGATGCTGAGTAGCATGGCGCATGACACCAAGAAGAAGGGCAAGGCGAAGAAGATAACCGGGGTGAACTATGTGGATGCGCAGGTTGGTTGCTAAGCCGTGCAAGTGTTGGTGGACACGGGCGCCACACACAACTTCATTACCCCGAAGGAGGCGCAGCGACTTGGCTTGGAGATACGTAAGACAGAGGGCTAGATCAAGGCCATTAACTCCGAGGAAGCACGCGTGAGCAGAGTGTGCAAGGAGGTGGAGCTATGTATGCAACGGTGGAAGGGCAAGGCCGACTTCTAGGTTGTAGAGATGGACGAGCGCGACATGGTGCTGGGGCTGGAGTTTATGGACAAGAACAACGCTGTGCCATTACCATGCCTTGGTGCGTTGATGATACTTGGAGGCGAGGAAGGCAAGGCCGCATGCATGGTGCCGCTCATGGGCAGGAAGGAGAGTCCAAAGGTAGCAGTTAACATGATGGAACTCGTGAGGACCTCACATCTTCTGAGGGGCGTGCGTACATTTGGGCCAAGGACATATTTGCAAGTGCTGATGACCTGCGAGAGGCTGGGTTAGCTGAAGAAACTGTGACGAGGGCGTCACGGAAATGGGTGGGGGAGAATGTCATGCCCCACCTATGGAGGTTATGTCACGCAGGCGCTGAGTAGGACGTTGCATGGCGACTGCATGACATTGGAGTTTCTAAAGTCTTCCAGAGTAGTCTAGAGTTGTGTGGAAGATTCTAAATATGTGTAGAAATGTGTTGTATATTGTAAAAGTGTGTGGAAGGTTCTAGAGTTCTCCAGAATTGTGTGGAGTAGTATGGAGAATTCTACAATGTTGTAGATATATATAGAAGTGTGAAGAAGGTGGGAGAAGATTCTAGAGAATCGATCTCCACCATAGGTTAGAATGCATCCTAGCCGTCCATTAGGGATGGGGATGCCTATAAATAGGAGTGGGACTTCATTTTGTAGACATCAAGTCCTGGAGTGTGTCTTGAGAGCTTTGTAGAACGTTTGAGAGTTAGCCTTGTATAAAGCATTCTTTAAAGTAATAGAAGTGTTCTTTCCTTACCAACTTAAGTGCCTTAGTGTGTGTGAGTGTGCAAGCCAAGTGAGGAGAGGGTAAGTGTGATACTCCTCCGATCCGAGACACGGGTTGATCAGGCCCAGGCCCAAACCCGAGGGAATACTAAACAATTAATATTTTATAACGAACACAGAATACAAGAGCAAATAAGAATAAATAACAAACGCTGACAAGAATACTAATATAAAATCCTCAACTGATAAAACTTAGTAAAATCTAACTGTCAAAACCTCCATGATTACAACTCGGGAATCTATCTCTAGTAGACCCCTAATAATAATCCAAACTGAAATAAAAATAACTGAAAGAAACATCCAGAAAATAAGCTATGGAGAGAGTCCTACGTAGTCGGTGGAATGGAAGTCCGTATCCGCTCTGCACGACCAAGCGCTAACCCTGGAACTGATGAGCACCTGAAAAATAAAAGAGTGGGTCAGGCTCACATGCAAGTCCTAATCTAACTGTAATGTATACAGTACCCGATACGCAGATACACCCTAGATACTCTCAACATAACTAGGTAATCCATAAATATACATATATATCCACACTAAGGACATTCACTGGACTATAGTAGAGGTCTCAACCTGAATAGAAGGCAACAAGTGAAAACGCACCCAAAGGTGGGCATGAGTATCTAGACCTAACAGGGTACACCTACCTACTATATCCAGCTACGCATCCACTGCATATACGCACCCTAAGCAACGACTCTGAGACTCAAGCTTATATCGTGGTACCATAATCATATATCTAAAATCCATCCGAAACCATAGTATGTCATTCAATTATTCAATGAGGAGACATACAAACTACCGTCCAGATAAGCACCCAACTTATCCAGCTGATGTGACTTAACTACAACCAATTAATCCAGGAAGTCATTCAACTTAGTCAGTTGATTTGACTTGAACACATTGATGGATTCAATATTTTATAATCCATCCTTTCCATCCGGTAGGTTAGGTCTTAGCGTTTTGAGCTAAACCGTCCCCAGTATGTCACCGTCCCATACCGGTGCATACAATCCTCCATATCCATGTAAATTACAACATATAAATCATAACTGGGTAACTTACAGTCCCAACTAGTATCCAAATAATTTCATAAATGGTTTCGTTATACTAGCAATTGAAAATCAACAGTAATCTATGTAATAGTAGAAAAAGTTTACTGTTTCAACAATTAAGATCCCAAAGCATGTATAGATCAAAATAAATATATAGAAGACCCTATCATGCATTCAAAATAGGTTTTTATAAACATCCTACATCCCATTACATTGCCAAAATTTAGTTAGGCAATTAATCTATCTTTCCTTCGTTAATCATATAGAAAATTAGTAATTTTATACCGTTTGTCCCATTGACTAAACGTAAGCTTTTAGTACTTTAAAGGTCTTAATAATACCTAGGATTAACTTTTTTAGTCATACAGTGAAGTCCCAAACTCAGTCCAAACAGTTCCCAACTCCTACAGTCTCAAAATTAATCGTAAAAACAAACTTCAGAAGCTATATGTGAGAAAGAGCCTTCTCCAGATTTTGGAGCAGGCTCTAAGAACACTTGGAGCTGCCTCCTAGGAGGGTAGAGCCGGCTCTACCTCTCCTAGATCCAGCTCTTTAATGGGGGAGCCGGCTCTTTGCATTCCAGAGCTGGCTCTTTCCTCCTCCTCGAGCCTCTTTCAATCTCTGTTACTCCTGCGACTTTCTACGGTGTTTCCAGCCATTCACAACCTGTCTAGTTGGTTTTAAACTGATCCTAAGAGTCCCATCTAAGTCCAGTATAATTCCCAAGATGTGTTTATAGCAGTTGAATACAAAAACAGAGGGTATAGGTTCTACAGATTTTTCATGCTTTAAGAAACAAACTGATAATAGATACGCACGAACTGTAATTGAACAAATTTTCACACATATAGAACATTGATATAACATCTATTATACATAAGAAACTCAGTTAAATGCTTAATTAAATCCTAGAGGCTATCTAGGTGCACAGAACACAGGCAAAGGGAAGAAGAAAGAAAATAACTTGTTTTTGAGTTTCAGACTTGAAACTCAAATTCTCAGTTTCTGTATTGCCCGTTCAACTCCCCACTACTGTTCCACAAACCCACGTTTCTTCCTCCTTGCTCCCACCTAGCCTTCCTCTCCTATCTCTCTCTATTCTCCCTTTGTATCTCATGGTCTCTGCTTTTACAGAAATTACGTTTATTTTTTCCTAAAACCCTAAACCACCGTGACATACATATTTATAGGCTTAGTGACTAAACCTTAATCCACGTATAACTCAGCCCATAGAACAACCTAGGTTATACTCACTGTCGGCTGCCTATGTAAACTGTAAACCCAATGTAAAGCTATATGACAGTCACGTTGAACACTAATTTAAATTAACGAAATCCAGCAATTCAAAACAATTAACTTAAGACAATTAAATTATTAAATCCCTTAAAATGAATACAATTAAAATAATTAAATTAAAACAATTAAATTCATAATTAAGACAACTAATTAAACAAAATAATTAATCAATTAAAGCAAAACAAATTCTAATTAAAGAAACCCACAATTAATTCAAACAAACAACCAAACAAATACAAATAACAAATTAAATAAAAGAAAAATACAATTAAACAATTAAATAATTACCAGGACTATTCTTTTAAAATTAGGGGTATTACATTCTCCCCCCCTAACAAAAGGAATTCCGTCCTCGGAATTTGCTCTTACCTTCTTCCAATATCTTAGGAAACTGTAAGCGAATGACATCTTCCCGTTCTCAAGTGGACTCAGCCTTGTTGTGATGACTCAACTGAACACGAACTAATGGAATAACCTTATTACGAAGGATTTGATCCCGCTGGTCGACAATAGACACGGTGGCTCCAAGTAAGTTGCATTCGGCTGCAACTCAATCTCCCCAACATCGATATGGTGATACTGATCCTCATCTCGCAGAAATTTTCGCAACATGGAAAAGTGGAAGACATTGTGTACGCGATCCAAATTATCTGGAAGTGCCAACCGATAAGCAACAGCTCCAACTCGATCTGTAATCATGAATGGACCGAAAAACCGCAGAGACAACTTCCCTTTCTTCCCAAAGCACATAACACCCTTCATAGGAGATACTTTGAGAAGAACCTGATCCCCAACCTGAAACTCCAAAGCACGGGTGCGACGATCCGCATAGCTCTTCTGCCTACTTTGGGTAGTACGCATGCGATCTCGTATAAGAGCTATCTTTTCAGAAGTATCCTTGATGAACTCAGGACCCAAGAATCTGCTCTCGCCAACCTCCATCCAACAAACAGGCGATCGACATGGTCGGCCATATAACGCCTCAAATGGTGCCATACCAATAGTCTTTTGAAAACTATTGTTATAAGCAAACTCCACAAGCGGTAAGTAATCCTCCCAATGGCCCTTGAAATCAAGAATACACGACCGAAGCATATCCTCCATAATCTGATTCACCTGCTCAGTCTGTCCATCAGTCTGAGGATGTGTGATACCCTTCGATTCTAGAGCCATGGGTGATCAAGACCGAGCACAGATTCGAGGGATACCAAACAATTAATATGTAAAACGAACACGGAATATAAAACTGAATTAACAATAAATTAATAATACGCCGAAGGAAATCTAAAATAAAAATCCTCAAACTTTAAATAATAAATTAATATCATTTAAGTCCTTCAAATCCGTACAACTCGGGAATCCACCTAGTGGACCCCTAATAATTCCAAACAATAAATAAATTTATAGAATTAAAAAAAACCGAAACTAAAATAAGAAAGAACATCCTATGTAGTCGGAAGAGTGAGTAACAGTCTCTGCTCAGCATGATCAAGTCTACGACTGGAACTGTCGAACACCTGAAAAATAGAAGTGGGTCAGGCCCACGAACAAGTTCTATCCCACTACAATCCAAACAGAGACTCGATACGCGTGTACATCCTAACCAATTCAACAATAACTAATAGTCCGTAGATATATATATATATATATATATATATATATATATATAATCACACTACAGGACTCTCACTGGACTGCAGGCCCGTCTCAACCTGACTAGTAGGCATCATGCAAAACGCATCTGTGGTGGGCATGACTACCTAGACCTAGCAGGGTACACATCTAACCATCATAGCCAGCTATGCATCCCAATGCATATACGCTCCCTACCCAACGACTATGAGACTTAGGCTCATAACGTGGCACCATAAAATATATAATTAAATTCCATTCCAAAATCCATAGTAGTACCGCTCAACTATATGTTGCCTTGACATTACAAATAAAATAGGATTAAACTTTTAGTTAATCCATTCCTTAATCCAGAGTAGGTAGGATTTAGCATTTACGAGCTAATCCCCCTAGTATGACACCGTCCAATACCGGTGCATACATCCATCCATCCATCTAGTGTTGATAATATAAATGACAGTAAACATTTCAATATCAACCTA